CGTTAAGGTGGGGGTTAAAGGAGGGGTCATTTTCTTTTTTTTTTTTTTTCCCAAGGGAAAAAAAAAAAAAAAAAAAAAAAAAAACAGAAAAATCATTTTCTGTTTTATTCTTTATTCCAAGGTGACAAAAAATTGCCAAAACACAGTGACTCCACTTATTTGGACATTGTCAGCTTTTTCTTTTCTACCGGAGACGGCCTATTTTTTGTCCGAGCTATGATTTTAGCTCCTGCAGGATCATAGAACAGACTGTCCCTGGCAGCTTGGACTCAATGTGTCATGATCTAGTCCAGACTGTTAATAATAAATGGCATTCATGGCAGACGGAAGGGCTATGCAGCAAGCTGAAGACATTTTCCAGGAAGCAAACCTGACACTGGCAGATTCACTTGGTTTGTGCCTCATTAAGTTCTTGACCCCACTCATAACAGTGGGTGCTTTTATTGGACCCCACTGTTCTAAAATCCTCATGTGAAGATTCCTTTCAACCCATCCTGATCCACTGCCAAGTGATTATGTTTCTGTAGCCAAAATAAGATAAGGTGATGCAGAGGTCATCAACAGTTCAGCACACAAATGATCTCTGTGAGGTTTCAATGTATTCTTATTGGACTTCAATTTGTTTAAAACAGAAATTTTGCAAACTGAGTTGCACTAAAATGTCTGTAAATGTTTCCTTATATCAAGGATTGTACTTAGTAAAAACAATTTTGACTCCTAGTGCACATTAATTCCTAGTGGGTTGACAAAAGCTTTTTTTTTTTAATACAGAACGTTTTAATACCTTTGATACATTGGAAATATTGTAATCCAAATCTGAAACGTGTAAGTTCCATTTACATATTCTTATGTTTGCTAGCTAAAGCCTTTTAAAAAGTGTGTTGTCAGTGTGTCTGATGCACAGGCACACCACCTGTCTTACCTGTCACTGAGGACGGCCCCCTCAGCTCCTGGAGGAGCGATGGATAGCTGGAAGGGGGTGTTGAAGTAGTGCTGCTGCTCGTCTGAGCGGTGGACCACCTCCCCTTCCCGCACCACTAGGAAGCCTGAATCTCCCAGGTTGGCTGTGTGCAGCTGGTGGCTCTGTCGGTCCAAGACCACTATACAGGCTGTGCTACTGCCTAGAGAGAGAAAAATAGAACCACATTATTCATTCATCAGCTCCCTCAAGACTTGATCCATTTCTTGAACCAGAGATAAAACCAGTACTTCATGTACATATATCTGAACTTTGCAAAAGTTTATCTTTCAGTTTTACTCTCAATATGAAAACTGTTTAAGATATGAGCTACCCTTTGGAAGAACATCATTTATGAGTTAAGGAAGATTCATAACAGTCAGGAAACAAGAAATCAATAAATCACTGTTCTAGAATGGCTTAGGACAACAGAGGTTGGCCATACGACAATGTATTGCATTGATCATGACCATGTTGTGAAAATTAACGGAGAGGATGAAGTTCAAAGAACACCATCCCCACAGTAAAAGTCAGAAGTTGGAGTGAGATCCTGTGGACGTGCATTTGTGCATTTTAAACCAAGAATCTTGTGGAGAGTAACTATGAAGAAAGAAAAAGCAGTAATACAAATGCCTAACATATTTGAAAGGAAACAATGCCATAGGATATTTCACAGCTACATCAACGCACCCATGGAAACTTTGTGCTTTAGCAGACTGATAAATGAGGTTTGCCTGAGTAAACCAACTTGACAGGACTCCATCAACTTAACACTTTTGATCGCTTTTTGGATCTGCACCATCTGGGAGATGAGGAGGAAACATGAGGCGCTGGAGCAGACAACCACACCCTATGGCTAATTCTTTTGGCAAACCGAAATGCGCCCACTGGGATCGACCTTCAAAACCCCTCACGCTGTGTGACTCACTGCCTGCCTGACTTATCTGGTTTCTCTCCAGCAGCACAATTACATACACACACACACACTGCTGGTCTGAAGAACAACTGGTTTCAGCTTAATACAGTGTTTCCTGCTCTCTATGTGATAATACAGGGTGGAAAAGTACCAAAGCTCACACCCTGTTCTGATCATATAATATTTAATCTACTGATGCTTCATGCGTATTCAAGATTTGTCGTTGAGAAGAGGTTAAAAGGAAATAAAAGGGATTCTAAATGCAAGCTCCACTGGGCAGGTCCCAAGGTTTCTTAATCAGATGTGGATGGGCTCTGAGTCATGTTGTAAAAATCCCCAACCGCCAAGAGCTAATCCAGAAATAAACAACTTAAACCCAAAGAACAAACTCGGATTCAAACCACGTGGAAACTTCTTTGCATCACAGCCTGACAGAGAGAACTGGATGTACTCACCGAGCAGTGGCACTTTGTTCTGCAACAACTCATAGTAGCTGGTCGTCAAAACCCCCACAGGATTGCTAGGAATGAAGTGTCCTTCCTTCACCAGCCTTTCACATGTCTTCATGAGCGTACTTGAAAACTGTGATGGGTCAACACCATAGTCCCTCCAGCCTCCGACTCCATCAGCTACACCTACAAGACAAAAATATGATTACATTTTACAGTGTGCTGAGAAATTAGACCACCTAAGTATTTCCAGAACTGTAAGAGGCTTCTTGTATCTTTGACATTCTTAAGATTTCACAAATGACTGTGCCTCAATGTTGCTTTGATTTAGATGTTCTCATTAGCAATGGAAACTTCCTTCAGGACCCAAAAATAATCCCAGAAAACAAAAGAAGGATTTTCACCATTTACTCATTGGTCACAGCCTGTGCTGAATGAGGACAAATGAGACCCCTTGAAATTTTACTTTCAGTTTTTCTTGTCTGGTACCTATTAGTGTGAGCCTTTCCTTAGTTTGGCATGTGGTAGATAAAAGAGAAATTGTCTGTGGCAGAGAAGAGGTGCACTTGTTTGTCAAAAAAAAAACAAAAAACCCTAGCCATTATTGCTCAAGAAACAACACTTTACCCATGCATATTTGGATTACTTTTTTCTCCTATCTCCTATAACCTAAATTTCAATTTTGGGCAACTGAAAACTCACAATTTTTAAGTTTTGTCATCTGGTCCAGAGGTTGCACATAATTATGGAAAATGTCAGAACATAGTGAACTTTTAAAATGAAAGCCCACATTATATTTTACTCTTGTCCACGTGCCTATTTCCGAAAAAGTATGCGTTCTGTAGTTTGTCCTTTGGCCTTAAAATTAAAATTTTAGGTCCATTATTAAATAGGACTGGTTGTGTTTGTTCTATTTAGTAAGTCGGAATTTGTAGATTTTTTTTGTATTGATTATACTTTAGCTTAACCAATTCATGGACTAGTGTTAGTGTCCCATGGAACAAAGAAACAATAGTGATGCTAGCAGCGACATAAGCCCATGTTATGGGTACTCAGTAGAAACGTTCAAAAGCCGAAATTTCCACATAAACAATATTATCGAGTTTTTAGCCTCCAGGTGCTTGAATTTTGACCTTACATTCACGTCACGGCCGGTGGTATCTATTTACAGTATATAAATGTTTACAGTTCAAACAAAGCCAACACTTACCTAAAACATCGGCGGATCTGTGTCGTGCGACGAAGCAGGCATCATCCCCGTAACACATTCCTTTTTTAAGGATGCCTTTACGGAAGTCTTTGCCGAAGCCGCAGCTCGCTGTCACAAGGCTGTAGTCACGGCCGTCCGTCTGAGAGAGTCCGCCGAGGACAGCTCTGGCCACCAGTCTACCGTATGACAGCACAGACAACATCACCTACTCAACTGCAAACAGCAAAAACCGCTGTTAGCCAACAAACACCGTCCAAGCTAGCAGCCGAGCTTGATTAGCTTCACCGTCAGAGTTAAAACACAGCAGTGGCGGCTCTATTAAACTTACAAAAGCTAAGCTTAGTAGCTGCTTAAGAATGACGAGCCGAGCGGGGGAGCTTTTCAGCCGGACAACGCCGCCGTCAACAGGCGCACGGCACCCATGTCGACCAAGCCGTCTGTTGTTAGACAAGAAACGCAGTTTCTGAGAGTATATGTACAGAAGAATATTTCCAGAATTCACTTTCCTCTCTGACTACTCCTGCCGTAGATGCCACTTATCCGAGTTCATGCTGTCAGCTGAGTAGAGACTCAGCTTTAGGAGCAAGTAGATAAACTGCTGCTATTGGAGCTCTGACTACTAGTGATGTGCGGATCGATCCTGAAATATCGGTACTTCCGATTCTGGATCTTTATGCTCTGAAATCGATTCTGAAATCAAAATATCGATACTTTTGATACTTACGCATTCTGAGATGAGGTGTATCCTAAACAGAAACATGGTGAAAAGTATCCAAATTATTGAGATGTTGTCTAAGTGACGCTCGGTTGGTGGGACTACTTCTTCTTCCGCCTGGGTGTGTGCGTCATGCGTAAGCACAGGGGCTCTACTCCGTGCTCTCACTCAGTCACTATTGATGGGAATTTCGGCTCTTTTTTAGAGAACCGGTTCTTTTGGCTCGGTTCACTGAACAAATCCGACGCTTTCGGGTCCTAAATGGCTCCTCAGATTATTTATTTTATTTATTTTTTATTTTTGTTTTACAAATAACATGTTTTCAGAGTTTGAAACATTGTTTTGACATATTTTATATGATTGTGTTCTCAGGTTTTTCTATTGTTGTGTTGACTGTATAGTAAATGAGGCAGCGACCTCAGTACACTCCAGAGTTTAAAATAAATAAAAAAAAATGCCTTAGATTCTTAAAGACAAATGATAAAATATCGGTATCGATATCGGTATCGGCGATACCAGCCCGAATTTTACTCGGTATCGGATCGGAAAGGAAATTGGTGGTATCGAACATCACTACTGACTACATAGGATATTGCGCAATTTGTTTCTTCATAAAGTAGTGCGCTCCAGTAAACGCGGGCTTTAACTTGCGTATTCCTTTAATTTTTGTATCCTTTTATTTATTGCTTCTTTCCTTTTTTCAATATGGTGATATTCTTTGGTTTCACGAATAGTGTGTGAAACCGAACACTGTTTAATAAAAAGCTGAGTATGAGTAACATGCTGCATGAAATTAAACTTACAATTTTATAATTTAGAGCTATAGGCCTGCGGCAAGTGTTTTTGTCTTACCACAGATAGCTCTGCAATTACTGATGGTGAGCTCAGACCAACCCATACTTACGCTTCCCCATTGTAGTAACGATGTTATTATCATGCAGTCAAAATTAAAGACATGATAAATGAAATTTCTGTATTGTATACCAGTATCTGCACACCCAATAAAACCTAGCCATTTTGAGTCAAAGGTTAGCTCAACTCTGAAACTTCTGCATGAAAACATTTCCCGCTGCCTTCAATGTAATTTTAAATGCTATTCATAAAAACAAAACCATAGATTTTCATTTTATTTCTAAAATTTAAGTTCTAGTTTGAGTTGTACTTTGGTGTACATTTTTGTCTCCCTCTTGTGGGTGGTTAGTGGCAGAGGTGAGGGGAAATGTGGTTGTGGAGTTAGACAGGTTACCAGTACATGTTGTTTTCTCCCTCAAACTACCTACCCAACAATCTATTAATATAAATAATGACAAACGGACTACAGTTTTCCCCATAAAATACACTCAGTTTATTAGAAAGATTACAGACATTACAAGAGTGCTTCCTTATTGGTTAGTATTTAGCACAACACTTGAAAATGCAGGGTAAACTGAATGTTTTCGGAGACAAACAGCAAATTAACTGTTGATAAAGTTCTATAGAAGTAAACAGGTGTTCATGTCTTTCCCCAATGTTTTTAGAACCATATAATTTCCATAACTGAAAGTGAAACAGGGAGAAAAAATAAAAACAAAACAGGACACACACACACAAAAACATAAAACAGAACCAAATTGGAAAAAAGGAAATGTGCACAGCTTCAAAACAAGGCAATCCTGTGCATTAGTAGCCATATTATTACATTTTCCTGATTAAACAGTCATATGTGGCAAAGACTAGCTGCAAAATGGGAGTGCAAAACACCTGAGGTTTATCATGGTGACATATCAATTTTACCCCTGTGGACAAAACAACAAAATAGTTTGCTTTCATCGTGTAGAAGTGGATATCTTTTTCAGTATTAGCTGCATGAAGGACACGTGATTCTCCAGATGCAGAAAATGAAAGCAGAGGAAAAGAGTGGGACACAGGCCGTTGACTCTCAGCACCTCAGCCTTTCATTTCTTGGCTTGTTTGGTGACCATGTTTCGAGGTGGAGTTACAGGACGGCTGCCGTTGGGCTTTTTCTTCTCTGCTGGTTTTAAAATCTACAAAAGAAAATCCAAAGGTGTTTGTTTAGATGTTTGACTTTTGGATGTTCAGTGACCTTTTCTCTGAGAAAACTGCACAATTATGTTAGAAAAGAAATGCAGCTACATCAGCAGTGAACCTGTTTTAACCTCACCTGAAAAGAGCACATGAGGGTCTCATCCACACTCATCATGGCACCAGCGTTGTCAAACTCGCCACAGTAGTTTGGCGCAGAGAACAAGGTAACAAGTTGCCTCTTAGCAAAGAATTCATAACCGTCTTCGACGACCTGCAAAAAAGAAGTAAAAATACAGGTCTTTAGACTAGGGCTGTCAATCTTCCCCTCAAATCACATTGGAATTTCTAATGCTTCTTATGCTAAATATTAGAATTATATTCCAAGTTTTCTCATTATAGACACCTAAACCAGATTCTTATGTCCCACAACCACTAGAAGGCACTCCAACCAAATCTGTTATGTAATATTTGCACTTTTACCAACTCATAAAACTTCATGAAGGGAAATCAAATTATTACAGGGCCAGATATAATTGTATGTCATATAATTATTATATTACATAATTATATAATTATATAATTGTTTTTTTCATCCTGGCAAGCAGCTGGCAGGGCTTGAGATGAGGTGGGAAGCAAGGTTATTCTTGCTTGATTTAACTGGTCCGCTTCATTCTGCTAACAGTTGTGTGCTCAGGTTACTCATAGACACATAGATAGCACTTTATTAATCCCTTCGGAGTTCCCTTCGGGAAATTTAGGCTCCAGCAGCAGCACCAAAACAACAGTAAAAACACACAAATAGATAAAATACAATAAAAAAAGTGGGAACCCTGAACAGTGGATGTTAGTAGATTAATAGAAATAGATAGTGTTAGTAGTATTAGTAGATAATTATTGTTGCTGTGTATGGTGTTGTTGATGGCAATCTCAATTACTATTTATTATTATATTTCAATTATACCATTGTTAACCATTGTTATATATATATATATATCCACATACATATACATATATATAAATAGTATATATATTATACTATTGTACAATACATATATAATATAATATTACATATTATACAGTGGGGCAAAAAAGTATTTAGTCAGCCACCAATTGTGCAAGTTCTCCCACTTAAAATGAGAGAGGCCTGTAATTTTCATCATAGGTACACTCCAACTATGAGAGATAGAATGGGGGAAAGAATCCAGAAAATCACATTGTAGGATTTTTAATGAATTAATTGGTAAATTCCTCAGTAAAATAAGTATTTGGTCACCTACAAACAAGCAAGATTTCTGGCTCTAACAGACCTGTAACTTCTTCTTTAAAAGGCTCCTCCGTCCTCCACTCGTTACCTGTATTAATGGCTCCTGTTTGAACTTGTTATCAGTATAAAAGACACCTGTCCACAACCTCAGTCACACTTCAAACTACACTATGGCCGAAGAGCTGTCAAAGGACACCAGAAACAAAACTGTAGACGTGCACCAGGCGGGTAGGACTGAATCTGCAATAGGTAAATGATCACAAGAATGGTGAGCAAAAATCCCAGAACCACACGGGGGACCTAGTGAATGACCTGCAGAGAGCTGGGACCAAAGTACCAATGGCTACCATCAGTAAGACACTACATTGCCAAGGACTGAAATCCTGCAGTGCCAGACATGTCCCCCTGCTTAAGCCAGTACATGTCCAGGCCCATCTGAGGTTTGCTAGAGAGCATTTGGATGATCCAGAAGAGGATTCAGAGAATGTCATATGGTCAGATGAAACCAAAATATAACTTTTTGGTAAAAACTCAACTTGTCATGTTTGGAGGAGAAAGAATGCTGAGTTGCATCCAAAGAACACCATACCTACTGTGAAGCATGGGGGTGGAAACATCATGCTTTGGGACTGTTTTTCTGCAAAGGGACGACTGATCTGTGTGAAGGAAAGAATGAATGGCTATGTATCAAGAGATTTTGAGTGCAAACCTCCTTCCATCAGCAAGGGCATTGAAGATGAAACGTGGCTGGGTCTTTCAGCATGACAATGATCCCAAACACACTGCCCGGGCAATGAAGGAGTGGCTTCATAAGAAGCATTTCAAGTTCTTCCTGGAGCGGCCGAGCCAGTCTCCAGATCTTAACCCCATAGAAAATCTTTGGAGGGAGTTGAAAGTCTGTGTTGCCCAGCAACAGCCCCAAAATGTCACTGCTCTTGAGGAGATCTGCATGGAGGAATGGGCCTAAATACCAGCAACAGTGTGTGAAAACCTTGTGAAGACTTTCAGAAAACATTTGACCTCTGTCATTGCCAACAAAGGGTATATAACAAAGTATTGTCATGAACTTTTGTTATTGACCAAATGCTTATTTTACTGAGGAATTTACCAATTAATGCATTAAAACAACTAAAAATGTGTTAAAGCAACTACAATGTGATTTCCTGGATTCTTTCCCCCCATTCTGTCTCTCATAGTTGAAGTGTACCTATGATGAAAATTACAGGCCTCTCTCATCTTTTGAATAGAGAGAATTTGCACAATTGGTGGCTGACTAAATACTTTTTTCCCCCACTGTAGATATTAGTAATATATTTATACACAGTATATAAATATAATATAAATATGCATATATATATATCCACATCCACATATATGCACTATATATATATACTTATACATATGCACACACACATACATATATACCTACACATATACATCTACAGTGGATATGAAAAGTCTACACACCCTTGTTCAAAGCCAGGTTTTTGTGATGTAAAGAAAAGACACAAGCATAAATCGTTTCATAACTTTTTCCACTTTTAATGTGACCCATAACATGTAATAGGCAATTGAAAAACAAACTGAAATCTTCACGAGGGAAAAATAAAAACTTAAAATAACCTTGTTGCATAAATATGCACACCCCTGTATAACTGGAGGCATGGCTGTGTTTGGATTCAACCAATTACATGCAAACTCATGTTAAATGGAGTGAGCACACACCTGTCACCATGTAAAGTTCCTCTGACGAACCCCAAATAAAAATCAGCTGTTCTAGTAGATTTTCATCCCATTTTTGTAGCCACATCTTCTAGCAGAAGCCATGGTCCGCAGAGAGCTTTCAAAGCATCAGAGGGATCTCATTATTCAAAGGTATCAGTCAGGAGAAGGGTACAAAACAATTTCGAAGAAGTTAAATCAACCATGGAACACAGTGAAGACAGTCATCAAGAAGTGGAGAAAATATGGCACAACAGCGACCTTACCAAGAACAGGACGGC